ATACTTGGAATAAAAGCCAGTTCATTTGGCCTTCAAAGTATATTAACAAGCACATTTATAGCAATGTTTATTGTTCATGAGAATGACCCAAGATACTACACCATATAATTGACTTGTACATCAGTCTAGACCCAGTAAATTGTACTCTACTGTAACTGTATTGCAAGAGAGAGACACAGGCAGAAAGAATGGGAATGAATCAGATTGATCAAGGCAAGCAGTTTCAAAACCTTAAGCATAGAGATTGGAAAGCCAGTATGATTCTTGAATGAGTATTTGATTGATGAGTGAGGAAGTTCAAGTCCCAGTTCCAGCTGTCACTTCCCTGAAGGATGCCAGGCTAGCTAAGCCACCTCCCTGGGCTCCACGCACTTCATTTGTGGTACGAGCTGGGAGGCTGGGTGGTTTCTGAGACCACTGAGAGCTCTGAAAGTTTGCACAGGCTGGAGCTGCTGCACTTGCTTCAGGAGGCTCTCAAAGTTTCATACATTAGCTAAGGTAGTCTTTTGTAATGAAGCTTTCTAACTAAAAATAAAGTATCCATCCATTCAGTTCACCATTATTGAATTCCTGCCACATGCCAGGTACTGTGTATAATTATGAATAAGAGAGTTTTGGGTTAAATAAGTAAAGAAGTTAATATAAAAAGATGATTGCAAAGTAATTTTAGAATTGCCATAATAAAACATACAGACAACTTTGTGGTAAGATAAATGAGTAAGACATTATAATATCAGGAGGGCTTTAATCCCCTAATTCTTAGTATACTTACTACCTCATGGCATGTGCCTATGTCTACTTACGTGATTCTCTGGGTTGGACAGGATGGCTCGAGTGGGCTGGAGTTGGGTGTTTCCCCGGGTCATTGGACTCTGATATTATCCCAGGAAGTTAGGTTCTGCTTACCTAGTTTCCCCTGAGGGCAGGCAGGCCTTGAGAAGTACAAGTGCTGTGAAATATTGAAAAATACTTTTCCCTCTACCCCTATGGGAAGCAAGAGGGGATTTTTCTTCAGTATTTTCTGCGAGAACCTGGTTGAACTCCTAGAGGTAATTCTCAAAATATTGTGAGGCGCCTCCCTTCGAGTGGGTTCCCCTGGAGTTTTCAAATATGATACTTACACTGACTCTCCCACGACCTGTCAGTTACTTGTCAGGTTTTGGGTTTGCACAATGGGTCCTGCTGTCGAGTGTCTGCCCTGGGCAGCCAAGACTTCCAGTGTTGGCTTGGCTGTCTGCAGTACCGGGGCCAGTGGTTGCTGTGTGCCCTCCCTTCTCTCACGGATTCAAGGAGAGTTGTTGATTTTCAGTCTGTTCAGGTTTTTACTTGTAGGAACAAGTGGCAACTTCCAAGCTCCTTACATGAGGAACTGGAAGCTAGAAGTTCGCTAGGATTTCTTTATGGATTCTGGACATGAGCCATTCATTGGATATATGAATTACAGTTATGTTAACAGGTATTTCTAATAAAGAAAGAATTCGTAAAATGAAAGATGAGGAAAAATCTACGCAATAATACAGCTTTATTTCTATTAAAATAATCAGCCATTACGTGAAATGAGGAACACTTGTTAAAACATTACAAATACAAAGTGAGCCAAATATGGCTGGTGCCCTCTAGTTTAGTGTTATTCTTAACAAACCCACCAAAAAATGGCTTTACAGTGTGTTAGGTGATTAAAGAACAGAAAGATTATTTCTGGAAGAAAGAACATTTGAAATAGACTGTATGGTAGGGCATTTTCAGAGAAATATGGGCAAAATGTGGACCAAGTTAAAGAATGTGGGTGGAACTCGTAATGCAGGTTTTCCGGAAGGAGGTAGTAATAACACATTGCACTGCTCCCTCCACCCCAACCCCCAGCGTAGATGCATTCCTCTTGATACGAGTACAGTATGGGGTAGGCAAAATCTCCTCATAAATATTGACATTTATTTTGTATTATTTAGGGAATATGTCAGTCTCTCAAAGAGACTGTTGAGCTCGGAAGAAAGTCCTCAGGCCCTTTCACTGATCGTAACTCAGAAAAGTCTACATTGTACTTGTCAGTATTCTATCGTTTCATACACATGATCAATGGTGATGTAACATTATTCAAAAGCTACATCAATATAACCTAATATTATTCTGAAGCACATGACAATTTGGTGCTCTGAACAAAAGATGGTCCTGAACATCACTTGTTCCTACTCTCACACATTTTCATGTCTGAAAGAAGGTTGAGAAAAATACATAAAATGGTGCGGACAATAGACTGTTCCTCTGGGCAGTAATTTATTTCATTGCTGGAATTTCCAACATGAACATTTATGACTTTCAAGATTAAAAATGACAGATTGGAGCAAACAATACTGCCATTCTGTATTTTTTATTATCATATGATCAATAAATAGTTCACAGATGAGAAGTTATTTTGTTGGGGAGTAGATACATTCATGAGGGATTTTTTTGTTTGGTTTGTTTGAAATTTAAGAGGTAAAAAGATTTCTTCCTCTTGATTTCAGATACAGTTTCTAGGAACATTGCAAGCTTTTAAAACGTGTATTTACATGTTTACAGTAAGAGTTATACTATTCATACAATTATACATTTTTTTAATTGTTGATAATAATCAGTTCAGTGAAAATGACGAACTAATTTTTTTAAAAGCCTAGAGCAATAGCAGTTTCACAGAGCTATATATAATGTACTCGTATGTGTGTACATAATGTTACATAGTACATATACTTTTTTCTCAACACGAGTAAAGGTTTTTTAATATAATCATAGTCTTTTCATAGACTCCTTGATTGTCTTCTATACCAGAGGTTGGAAGACTTTCTGTTTTTATTGTTGTTACTGTTCTTTTATTCTACTCTACATAACCCAACTGCCTTTTTTTTTCCTGTAGCTATGTTTCTGGTTTATTCTTATAGATTATTTTTACTATATTGTGATCTATTTGCATATTGATGTGACCTTGGACATAATTTGTGCCTTAATCTGGTTCAAGGGTGTGTTCGATTTAATATGATTTAAAATGCAGACATCCTTTCTCTGTTCACAAAGAAAAATGTTAACATCAGCAGTGATATCAGAAGAAGTATTAAGATCTTACAACCTTGATTGAGAAGCGGACTGTGGATAGTTTCAATAAGTTCACACTAGAATTATTATTGCTCCTTTGCTTTTTATAGCAAGCATATAATCACTCTATATTTACTTTGGAATAATTACTGTGGCTCATGGTGCAGCCTCATTGCTCCATATCTTATTGTTATTACTTATGCTACAAATCTCAGTTGCCTTTCCCTCCCTCCGTAGTGTACATTTTCAGTGTTTCATAATCTTGCCAGTTCTAATTGTTTTTATAGTCCATCTTGTTAAGATAAATCTTATTGCAGCAGCTTAATTCAACCCTTCATCATCTCAATAATGGCGTTAATGTCTTCCCTGGTTTGGTGTTCCCATCACGCTGCCCCCTTCTCTTTCTCTTAATCAACACCCATGGGTTTACACAAGAACCTAATATGTGCCATGATACTTCAGTGAACAAATAGTAATGTCCCCATGCACTATGGGGCTTGCATTCTAATGAGAAGTGTCAACAGTAATCATGATGAATGAGTAAACTGTACAGCATGTTAGAAGATGAAATCTATTGTGGAAAAAGTAGAGCAAGGTAAAGGAGCAAAGGAAATAGTAATGGTTGGAAGAAGGAAGTATGGGAAGGTGTGTTCATTTAAAATGGCTTAGTCCAAGTAGTCCTAAGCAAGTGACATTCGAACAAAAACTTGAAGCAAGAGAAAGAGTGAGCTTAGAAATATTTTAAGGATGACCCCTCCAGGTACAGGGCCAGCAAGTCAGAAACTCTGAACCAAGAGGATAACTAGCGTGTCTCAGGAGCAGCCCGGAGGCCGTGTGGTGGGTGGGGCGATGGGCGAGAGAGGACAGGTGAGTCCGGAGAGGCAGCGGGAGCTTTTAGTCCTGGAAAGGAAGGGCTCTGGCCTTACCCTGAGTGACATGGGGGCCATCGTGGGGTTGTGAGTGGTGCAGTGAGATGATCTGAATAGTCTTATTCAACATTGAGAAGAGAATGTCTTTGTAAAACACAAAGATGATTACAGACCTTCTCTGCTTTAAAATATGCTTGATTTTTTAAAAGAAATGTCCTTGATATAAATTTCCAGTCTCACATAATTGATTAAACTCCCTCTCATCTCCTGACACTATCCTTCCCTAGGGACCCATGGAAAAATCAGTCTACAATATGTGATTCCATAACTAGGTGCTAAGCCATAACTATAGACATGGTAACATAATACGCGTGGCGATCATGAAGGAATACTTCTTGTGGGTGTTCAGGCATGGGCTCAGTCCAGAGGATAGATGAAATCGGGAGAAGGTGGGATGTGGGAGGCTGGGAGGAGGATGTTATGTGAGAAAGAAGTAGAGTGAAGAATGTCCACTCGGACGGCAAGATAAAGCACCTGCTGGGGAGACAGGAGCTACGCAGAAGAGTTTAGACTTTGACGCCCCCATAGAAGAGGCCACATTTGTAGATTTTTCAAAGTAGAAGAATAAAATAATAAAATCAGTTTTTAGACAGAAGCCTGGTAGATGGTTCTGATTTATTGAGGAAAAATAAACAAAAAAGCAATTCTCATATGAGTCAAAACTTGCTCTCTACCTAAAGGAGCATGCCCTCACCTTATCTCGGACACTCAGTCATCTTACGTGGGTGATGCCTTTCACCCAAGTGGGCTTCCATTGTTTCCCCAGACGATTTATGCCTGGCCCAAGGGAAGACAGTGGAGTTAAAGGCAAGGGGACGTATGCTTCTCTGCTTTGCTTGCATGTGTGTGGCATTGCTGTGTATCAGGTCCTAGACCTTTCAGTGGTGTTTCCTGTCAAACGTGTAATATCGGTGGGGGACAACTATACTGAACAGAAAGCACATGGTAAAGTCTGCTTTATGTAATCAAGTTGATGTGGTTTTTTTTTTTTGTTTTTTTTGCCAGGTAACAGAAACACGAACAGGTCCTCTTGGCTGCAGTAACTATGACAACCTAGATTCTGTCAGTTCTGTTCTGGTTCAGAGTCCTGAGAATAAGATTCAGTTGCAAGGTATGTAGATACATTTTCATTAATTCTCTATCAGCTATCCAGCTGTGATCACTTTCTCCTCTTCCTCCTTCCTTTTTTTTTTTTAAGCCACGTGTGCAGTACTAGGCTGTTAAAGTTCTCATAAAAGTCTAATTTCCTAATTTTTACCTGATATGAACATTCTAGATCAGATGAAGAAAATGTCCAAATTCAATTTACTTCTTAAATTATGTAACCTATGGTAATTGTAAATTTATCATGATATTTTACTTCCATGCACTAACCATTGTTTCAATAAGTAGCTGTTTTTTCCTATGTGTGCTTGAGATTTGACTTTTTCCTCATAGATTTTGGTACAAGTTGTGGCCATATTTATGCATAATGTAGCATGAATTGTTGACATTTTGAATATAATCGAATATGGGTGTTAAGCCTGCATTTGTCTTCTGACAAATAGGAATGTACTTGAGATTATGCTAACAAAATTTTGATATTTATATTATTTTCACTGTAAAGATAAATTATACGATGATGGTGATAACTTACCATCTTTTTCTATTACTATATTTTGAGATAATGTAATAGAGATTTTTTTTTTAAATAATAACTTTTAACAAGTATATCTTTTCTCCAAAATTACTGATTCATACAGGCAAGAAAAGGTTATGAGTAAACACGTTTGGCATGCACTAGTTTGAATACATTCAGGAAAACCTTTATGATAAGTGATCAAAGAAATAATTTTGAGCTCTTGTTTTCTAGTCTACCTTTTTTAATTGCATGAGTTAGAGCTGTATTTACAGTATTCAGTTTTACGTAAAAATTATTAAAAGTGTCAGAAATTATGCCATTTTTTTCCCAGCTTTTCAATCTTGAAAAATGTAACAGCTCTGGACTGTTTAAATTTACCCAAAATAATAAATGAATGTCATTCATTTTGAATTGTATAAAAATTGCAAAGGAAGTACTTTAAAATTGTAAATGTTAAATGCTACACAATAGATCATTATCAATTTTAGATTTAAAATTATTGAAATATTTTCTCTAAATAGAAATATAGCCTACTAGTGTTACTTGTAATTCTCTACTGCTTACTCCTTTTTAAATGTATGGTCTTTTCTCCATCAGAGTAATAACTGTCATTGAAAAGGACAGATAATGTTTCTATCAAATATGCTTATTTCAATCGATTTATTAAAATTTATTGAACACAACTTATTGATTTTACTGTTTGTGAATCACTGTTGTGTTTAGTTTTCTGATGTTACAAACGCAAAACTTCAGTCTTTTATCTGTCTTCAAAAAAAAAATTAGCACAAGGAATAAATGAAGCAACACTTCCCATGTGTCTAACTATATTTCTACTCTTTTCAATTTATATGAGTAATTTCTGCATCTCTTTCATCTTTTTCTATTTTCCAGGCTTATGTGTTCAGTTGTCTATTGCAACTTTAGTGGTGTACCTGTGGTACAAAGAGATTTCTAAAGAGAATCTTAGGAAATCACCATCAAGACCATCAACTTCCTATGTACTCTTTCTTAAATTTCATCTGTATATACTTATAGTCCGAGTATCATGTTGGTTCACCTTTTCAATCTCATCTTTAATAGTAGCCCTTTCCTTCTCCACTTTAAAAAAAGAATACAAAGCATTCACTAATTCTGAATCAATGTTATCATAAATAAATTCCTTTCAAGGTTATAAAAAATAATGGGTTACTGTATGTGGCATTTGGAAAAACTAGTCTCTCTAAATAATCTTTTATTTAGGTACCACCATAGGCCTTTGTGTGTTTAATAGTTATTTAGTTAGTTGGTAGGTTGGATGGATAGGTGGATGGATATACATAGACATAGATGAGATAGAGATAGATACATACATGCACATATACATAGTGCATGTGTGTGTGTGTGTGTGTGTGTGTGTGTGTGTGTGTGTGTGTGTGTGTGGTTTCATTTTAAGCACAAGGTGAAGTATTAGAATCAGTGGTTAGCCCATTAGGGATCTTTTTAAATTGGATATATTATTGACAGGAGTCTGGAATTAAGACAGTTTTTCATTATTGACCTTCTCCTTCCAAGAGCTTTCTCTTGTAGAAAAAAATGAATTGCTTCTGAAGTAGAATTTTATCAGAGCAAAGCAAGTATCAGTAGAATTATTGAAGGTAACAGCATTAGTCAACAAATTAAGAACAAAACTTTATGACTTACCTGTCTATATTAGAATTAACGTTCGGAGATGAGATGTCAAAAGACTGCACATAACAGATTAATTTTGGCTGAAAACAAGTGAAATTAAATATTTTCTGGCAGTGAGAAAGCTGGATTTACCTGCTTGTTTGACCTTGAGTTTTGGCTTTACTTATTAGGTTACAAAACAGACATTTTTCACAAATTAAACGCTGTATCTATAAATCCACATTATTGATGAAAATATATTTAATGTGTATGACAAAAAATTCATTACTTAATTCGTAAGAAAGTATTAGCAACTATGTATTGAAATTAATAATATTGCAATTTTTATAACTCCTTATGAATTTAATACATCAGACAAGGTACCTCTGAGTCAAAGTTTAAAAGGAATAATTGAAAGTCATTTATGAAGTCTTGGTAGTAACTTTTTGGTAAAATTCCTAGAAATCAAGAAAGTAAATGATCTATACGACCGAGTAACAAATACTTTTTCAGATAAGTTGGTCTTATTTTACCAAAATTGACACAGGGCTTGGTTATCAGCACATAGACGATGTACTGTAATTTATAATGATGGGTCACTGTGCAATATTTTTTGCTTATAATAAAAACCTAGTGATATTGCTTCATAAAACTATTATATTTTGTTTCCTGTTTTGTTTATTAGTATATTTGAATAACTTTTCTTAAATATAAAAGTGAAAAATAGGGAAATAATTTATATTTAAGTGATTTATATTAATTTGTATTTCTAGCAAAATATACATAAACTAATTAACAACATGAGCAAAGAAGCAGTGAAGAGTACTTGTCAGCTGGCCGTTTTCACTTAGTTGCTGTCTTGCTAGATGCAAGTTACAATTTTCTTGATGTCTCATAAATTTCATAAAGCCTAATTTATTGATTCACTAAATATTGTGTCTTTCCTTTGTCTTATCATTCTGTGGTTCCAGTTACATGTGCTTTTAGAGCTTTTGGTCATGGCCTGTCCATCTTTTATGCAGCCTTTGGTATTGTCTACCCCGTGCCTTTTTATTCTGTGTTCAGTATTTTTTCTGACATATTCCAGTTTGCTGATTATCTCTTAAGCTATGTCTAGTCTGCTATTAAATCCAACTTTAATTTTTACATTTTTACTTTCAGTGTTTCCATTTGATTATCATTTATAATTTCCAGGTCTCTGTCAAAATGTGTCATTTAATTTTTGATCAAGTCATTGAAATTAATTTATAGTTTGCTTGATAGACTCTATAGCTTTCCTTGGTATTTTATATGCTAATTAGAGCTTTTATTGAATTCTGATGCTTTACATGCCAATTTGTCCAAATTATTTAAAATTCATGATGACATTTTCTTTCTACAGAGATCTAGTTTGTTTCTAATACCTTTTTAACAGAGCCATTTGGATGTATGCTTTATCCCTGGTGAATGAAGTCTGGTTGTTGTTTTTACTTACTTCTTGGGTATACAGCCCTCTGGATTACAAGTCGTGAGGAATTTAGTATCTTTATCATAACTGATTCAAAACTTCAGTATTGGCTTTGCTGACTGGGCAGAACTCTGAGACACAAGCTCTGCCCAGAGTGTGGCTCACTCTTCAAGGAGTCTTTTCTTCGCAGATTAGCCCCAGAAACCCTCACTAGGACTGACATTCGGATCCTTTCAAACCTGATTATTTCTAATATTTTCTCCAGATTTTTGATTTGTTGATTTTTGATTTTTGATTTTTGATTTGTTGCTACTGAAAAGTTTGGTTAAAAAAAAAAATCGAGTCTCGCGTGCTGGACTCCTCCACGTTTCACTCTATGGCTCCAGCTTGCAGCTCTTGTCCAGCCTCACACAATAGTCTCCTGTGTTCAGAACACAGCTTCCTTAAGCGTTGTCTCGTTACCAAGGAGACGGTCTCTAATTACAGTCTTATCAGTATGCTTACTCTGTTGTTTCTGTACCTTAAAAATAAATCCTTAGCCCAGCCCCAGTCACTCTTGAGTCATCTACCAAGGCACTCCAAGTGATGTATTCGTTATTCTTTATATACCGGGGGTGCCAAAAAAACTGAATACACACGACTTATATTCATCTTTTGTTATCGGTATATACTGAGTATTACAAATTTAATACATTTTTTTTTTTATTTTCTTAAAATGTACATACATCTTTCTGGACCCCTTTTGGCACCCTCTGTATGTGGTCTCATTCTTTAATTAGAAAGTCTTGTGTGGTCTGTCCTCGGACATCTTCCCCCAAAATTACTTTTAGTGTGGTTTTACAGAATGTCAGTTTCCTTCTTTTAGTGATAGATGGATAACTAGCTTGATAAAGATAATTATAGCAGAAATGCTTGCATGTCTAAAACTGAACTAATAATGTCTTGCCACTAATCATTCCTTCCCAAATTACTTCTCCAGCCTTTTCTATTTCTGCAAAAGCACTCTCATCCTTACAGATTGAAAGTTATAATGCAATTACTTGGCTTAAGACATTTTTAATGTTCCATAAATTCTTTGAATATTTTATTTTTGTAAAATTAAGGTTTAGAGAGATCAATGGCTTCTAGACATCAGGTCCACACATTTTCAGTTTCCTAAAACGTTTTAATAAGTATATGCTGATTCCTGAGTATCATTATCAGAGACTCTGACTAGCCAGTTTTTGACATGGATTAGGCATGTTTTCAGATGAAATCATTAGATACTTCTGAAGTATACCGTATTTGGGGACCTATAGGACTAGTCATGTAACAATATTGTTTGCTTTATCATTTTACTCTTCTAAGTTATTTGACATGTCTCACCTGCCTTATATCAAATAAAGTAGTCTGTTAGATTCTCATTCTTCTTCTCCTATCATCTAAATTCCCTTTCCATCACCTCTTCAATTTATATATTTTTAGTCTTCTAAATAAACTAGTCTTTTTTTAATACATCTTCTACTTCCAAATAACTACCTTCCAGAGTATCCTACATGATTAAGTGACATTTAAATATAATTTAATTAATTCCACACACTTCACTCTGATACAGAAACTCCAATAACAGTACTGTAAATTTATTTTCCTAAGCAACTTAGTCATTGCATTCTTATAGTCCATGTGCATTTAAGCAATACTACTACTTGCTATTTTAAATATATATATATATGACAGTTAATTTGTGTATGATGTTATTAATGTTTAATTCTTTGTCACAAGAGACCTATGTCTTAATTTTGAAAACTATCCATATGTCAAATAATGTTCCAGTCTTTTTCATGGAAAGTTTTATTAATCTTATGAACCTAATATTATAGCTTACCCAATTAATTAAACCTAATTGTATGTATCCCAATTATAGTAGTTATTAAGTACTATTGTATAAAATTATTATATAGTTACTTCTTTTATTTGTCTTAATTATATTGCATATAATTTTAGGGCAAGGATATGTCTCTGTCATCTTCATATTTAAACTTTACCTAACAGTTCTCTTCCAAATAGGAGACACTCAGTAAATGTTATTTGTTTGAGGTGAAATAAAAATGAATAATAAAGTGACTATATAACTTCTAAGATTCCTGACCAATATATATGGGAGAGTTAATCTGAAAGACACAGATGTAATTGTCAAGATATTTGTAAAGTAGATTTTTCTTCCTAAATGCTAATTCAAGATTTTTAAAAGAATCTCATAGATAATGTTCAAAGGTCAAAAACTGATTTTTTTTTTGTTAGAAAGAAAACATAAAAGTTGCAAAACTCTAAATTTTTAGTAAATAGCGATTATGTATTGGCCAAATTTTCCCTTATATTTATTTTTATCTACTGATTATTTTGCTCTTTCATTACATTTTCCTGTGTAGCAATGAACACTGATATTGAAACTGTATTTTTCTTGAGATGTCATAATAAATATAAAACTAGTAGAGATCTCCAAAGATTAGTCTTGTAGTCTTATTTTCATTTTTCCTATTTTCTTAAGAGAGAGCAACAGTACTAGACTTGCATGTAGAAAAGTAATAAATGGTGACACTAGGGCTGCATCACATGGTGAGGAAGTAAACTGTGGAGCCATTCAGTCAGTCCATTGGCTTCCCTGTAGTCAGAAGTAGTGGTGACTCCTGAGCAATAGTCATACAAGTTACATGTTGTCAATGGCATGAGATAAACATTACCAGCCACCTTCCATCATGCTTTTACCAGTGCTGCAGCCCATTGGATTGGTATTTATGTAGATGTAGGCTGATAGTCTGAAAGTAGAATGAACATATTGGAAGCTATTTACAATCAAGTGGGGTAACATAAATGGATGCATATCTTTCCAAAGACAGACAAGCTCTATCTACATTGTGTAAAAATAACCAAATATTCTGATCAAATAAGTCAAAGAGCCAATCAGATAAGTTTTAAAAACAAAATCTAATAGTCTGAGGGATTAAACATGTCTGTAATTTCTGGGATTCTTGAGCAGTGCATGGAGTCAGCACATGCTGAATAGCATTATAAACATTTGCAATTTTGTAGGCTTAAACAATTTTCCGATGAGAGTTTTAAATACGCTTCAATTCATAACTTGATATACTAACTTTTAGACATTTTTAAATACTGTAAACATGTAGTAACCTTTTTTCATACCAATTTAAACCTATTTGCTTGGTTTGCTCTTTCAGGGCTGCAAGTGCTTCTTCCAGACTACCTTCAGGAGCGCTTTGTGCAAGCAGCTCTGAGCTATATTGCTTGCAATTCAGAGGGAGAATTCATTTGCAAGGACAATGACTGCTGGTGTCAGTGTGGTCCCCGATTCCCCGAATGTAACTGCCCTTCCATGGACATCCAAGCCATGGAAGAGAATCTCCTTCGAATAACCGAAACTTGGAAAGCCTACAACAGTGACTTTGAGGACTCAGGTAAGACACATATTTTAATAGAACAGCACTTTGAAACTGTGCCCCAAGATAACTATATTGAAAAGACCACTCTGCCCTTTCAGAAGAAACTATTACATACTTGTGAGGGATTTTATTTAATTTTTTGTTATTCTTTCAAATAGACACATGTGTTGCCTTTATTACTGGTTATTCTGTATTTGATTAACAGCTCCTGTGTTGTTTGTGTATTGCTAAGTCTACTGGCACTACAACCTAGTTTGCTCTTGACCTGATATGTCCATCACTGAACAAAGAAAGTCCTTGCCTTTCTCAGTACAAGCACTTATCATGGGATACCTCTAACTCCTCTCTGGACTTTTCTAGTGGTCCCTCGGTTTTACTCATGAGGCCAAATGCAGGAAGCTGGTGTTCTGTGCCTTGTTTACATTAACACGGGTCTCATGAATGAGTACCTTCACGTATCTACTTATGTTTTGATCAAACTTAGATCAGCTATGATTGGACAGTGTTTCTAGGTTTTGAATTTTGCTGTTTCTGAATTTTCATGAGTATTCTCTGTATTGACTCTCATTGACATCATAACCTATGATAACCATCTACTTATGTTTTGATCAAACTTAGATCAGCTATGATTGGACAGTGTTTCTAGGTTTTGAATTTTGTTGTTTCTGAATTTTCATGAGTATTCTCTGTATTGATTCTCATTGACATCATAAGCTATGATAACCATCATTTCATAAAGCATTGAG